GGCAAGAATGAAGGATCTGGTGGCCTAACAAAAATCTCAGTCAGTCTTGACCTCTGAAGAACTTCTCGTAGTTGGCTGCTGCTCATGGCTAACAACTGTGCTATGGCAACTGGTTCACCACGGCTGACCAAAAGCCGAAATGCATGACCCATATGCACGTTCAATATGGTGTGGCTTGCAATTGGTATTCGTCCAAACCATAGAGTACAGTGATTTCTACGGTCGGGCGGCGTGCAGTCAGACAGCAGGTTCAGAAAGCGCAGAAGACTTTCAAGGTCTAATTGTTGAGGCAACACTACTGCAAAGGTGTGTGGTGACCGTTCAATATCCGGATCAGTGTCATAAACCGAGAGAACAGAGGATCTGAACTCTGGCATGGCATGCTGTGTGACAATGAGCTGCGCAATGATTCCTGAAGCAGCGTCTTCCGGCAGTGGGTGTACAATGGCAAAACTGATATCTTCCTGACCCTCCAGCTTGTCTTGCCACGTATTGACAAGTGCTTGGTGCCATACAAGAAAGTCCTCATACAAGAGCGTGATCCTTGGATGATGGCATCTAGTGAAGGATCTGTGATTCAAAAACCAGCTTTCGACCCTTTGCACATTTCCACTGGCAATAGGAGAGGCCGCTTGTGCATCTGTAAACCTTTCCCAAAGATCTCTAATGCTTTCTGGCTGCGCATCTATGGATCGAGGGTCAGGGATGAGATGCATCGGGGGTTCCATTTGCTCAGCGTCTCGATGTGCCGCTACAGCTTCCAGAAATTCATCTGTGAAACTACACAATGGTTGGATTTCATCGGCATCAGCAGAAAACTTCTGAAGGCATGTTTTACCGAGAATGTCTCTTGTTTGCATTAAGTTGGTGACATCAGAAAGTGGCTGAAGGGGCTCATTGGTATGGTCACTCGGCGTTGGACTGGCTACTCGCTCGGGCAAGACCTTGATGATGATACCCATGCCATTCCTGGTTTCAAAGACATGGTCCTCTTCTTTCACTTCCGGATGGGTCCAGACTAATCGAGAGAATGGCAAATTCGCAAAGAAGGAATTCGCATCTGAGAGATCCTGAACTGTACAATGTCGGGGCAAGACTGTTGCATACCTCACCACAACACTACGCTGAAGAGGATCTACAAACTCAAGAGAAAGCAAGGTGGAAGACAAGGCAGTAGAACGTTTAGTGAGCAGGATGTGGGCGATATGCTCCTCTACATCAGCTCGAGGCGTACGCGGCTGCACTAAATCTAGAAAAATTTGCTCCTCTTTTGCAATGTAGTACCTCCACGGTTGCAGGATGTCTTCATACCATTCCGATGGGTCTCCGCCCAAAATGGCTATTTTCGGCTCATGACATGTCTTACGGTCCTGATGGTCCAACAGCCACGTGTAGACCGAGACAAGGAATTCGTCTTGTTGCGCTATATTGCATTGGACTTCATGCTGTTCTACAATTCTCTGCAGATCAATGATCCAGTCTTCAGGTATAACCGACTCACCACTGTCAGAGGTCGGAGAGATATTCGTACCATGTGTTGTCAGAAGCACTGTGCTATGTTGCATGGCTTGAAAAGAATCATTCTCGACCTCCAGTTGTTCCAAGTGTGGTGTTGCAAGAGCACGCACTTCATCTTGGTCCAAAAGAGAAGGTGAATAACCTGCAGCAGCTTCATGTTCAGCAGTGAAATGCAAAATTTCCTCATCATTAAATCCACTTTGGGTCCATCTGACCATTTGCAGAGTGGAGCAAACAAATCGATCAGTTGGTGGAAGAGCAATTCTGATGTGATCACCATGTGAAAATCGCTTTGATTCCACATCCGTGTCTGGCCATCGCACCCCATCATACCAGACAAAGCATCTGTCGTTTTCGCGCGCACAGTAGAGCTCCACATCGGCCATGAGGAGAACTGCATCACGATCACACCATTCGGGTGTAACTTGAACAAATCGTTGTGTCGTTGGGCCCAATCGGAAGGAAGACTCAGATGGATGTGCATGAAACTCCAAATCAAAGAGTACTAACCTAGCCGTATGCCCAATGGCAATGTCAGGCAAAAGATGCACAATGATGGGAATTGCGTCGGGTGGTATCCAGAAAGCTCAGTGTTAATTTCATAAGCATCAACCACATTGATCGGCGTAGTGGAAAAATGGAGGGCAATCTCGGCAATCATACGGTCATAATCACTCCAATCCAGCAGAGCTCGAATTGGTGGGTCCATCAAATGAAACATAATAACCTCCTGTCTTCCCTGCGTGGAACTCGGAAGCCTTACATCGGAGTTCGACGACATGCTATCTGGGTTGGTGTCAGAGCTTCCTGCTTCATCTGAAGCTCCGCCTTGCAGTTCCTGATCGGTTGGTGCGGCCTGGCCTTCATTGAAGGCAGTGAGCCTGATCACTTCTTGATCGGAAAAGGTCGAATGTTTCATTTGGGAAAATTGTACCATGTATGTTTCATCACCATGACACAAATGTTCCTCAGGCGGGCAAAATTGCTCAGCTTCTGGAACTGTTGGAAATTCTACTTGGAAAAAAAAATCATTCATGTCATCATGCAAAGATCGGCTCAACACGGCCATTTCTGACAGCGGAGCCTGATCTTTCTTATTCCTTACTCTCTGCTTACTCCAAGGTTTTTCATCCCAATTTTGAATTGATTTCTCCAGCAACCGAATGCGGCACATTTCCAAACTGTCATCTATTCCAATCCACACATCAATCTGATCATCAAACTTGACCTGCAACTTTTTGGTAGGCCCAGAATGTGGTCTATGAGATGGCATCCATGGAAACGGAAATGGAAAGTTCCTACAAATCGGTGTGCAACAAAAGTCATTATAGAGATTCTTTGACACCTCCCATTGCAAGCACAACGCATCTGAAACTGCTTTGAACTCACTCACAAATCTCGGTTCACCGCATACCGAGTGCTTCATAGGGAGAAATGGTTGAAAGGGGTTGTCCGTACAACTACATGCTGCATCAGTCACCGCAAATGAAGACCAATAGGCATCAGTAGGAGTACCTAAAGCGGACTCAAGCTCGGCCTCATGCCTAGGATTGCATTCAACTCCTAAGACACGGCCATGCTTCAGGAGGAGGCTTTGCCAACACCACCAAACGGCTCCAAAGATCTTTGTCTTTTTGGCGGTTTGTCTCCCGTAGGGGACGAGTCGTCGGGAATCTCCTCGACTTTCTGTGGCTCGATGTCGAGACCTAAAGAGCTGGCACAATTTCTCAGCACCGCCTGAAGGCTCTGTCTCATTGCCTCTTCCTCCTTGTCTGCTGTCTCTTCGGGTTGGTCTTCGGTCTCCACTGTTGGAACTGCCGGGGGAGTTGCTGGAGCAGATGCTCCTCCAGCTGCATGGCTCAGTTGTTGGATGATCCGGCTTGTAGCCGTGATCTCGCTTCTGGCTTTCCCCGCTTGTTCCGTCAGGAAAGCTTGGTGTTTTCTGTAGTCCTCTAACTGTTGTTCCCAAATCTGAACTCCCGCCGCCATATGCTTCATCCATAAAGCGCGGTGAGCACGACGATGGTCTGTATCCTCGCTGAGGTGATCTTTGACCTTGCCCAAATAGGTACTTGCTTGATGTAAGTTCTTGATGCCTTTCCTTCCGTAATCCTTTTCTGCTTTCTCGACAAGGATACGTGTTTCTTCCGGCATCAAACTTGGATCGGGGTACGCTCTGCGCAAAGCATCTACCCATTCTTGGTTCTGAGCAAGGAGATTTGAGGAACCTGCAGCTGCAAAAGGATTCGGGGATAAGGTCGTCGAGGGAGTAAATGCAGAAGTGTCCATGGTGGCCCAAGGGGCAAAGCTCTTCGTCTCTGCCTGAAAGGGTGAAGCCTGGTCGCTTTGCTTGGATTGACCTTTCCCCTTCTTTCCTTTCTTCCCTTTCATATTTCCTTTCGTCTTGGTTGGCATCTGAGAAGCAGAGGCCTGGCTTGTATATGTAGTGTCCTCTGCACCATAGTTGTATCTGGTCGACGACCGGCTTGTTGAACGCGATCGATTGTCCTCCCAGTTGTTCCAATCGTCCCAAGAATAAGCATGCCAGCCATATGACTCTTGCTGCTTGGGATTCTTGGATTTGGGCTGTGTGGAATGCCTCGTCCCTCTGGTCCATGGTGCATAACACACAGCACATTCTGTAGACCACTTTTTGTTGATGCGTCCACACTGACATTTCCACGGAAAATACTCCATGTTCGGATCGTTGGAATAATCCATGTCCATTGCTTTGGTGATTCGATGTAGGAAACTTGGATCTCGACTGTGGTGCCGAGCTAGCACCTTGCGCACTCTGAGGAGTGCTGGTTTGCTCAAGGCTATAAAGCCTTTTTTGTGCAGGAACCAATTCCTGCGGGCTTTTGCCCTGTCTCTGCGCGCCTTTCGGCGGATGGTATTCAGCGAAATTCTGCACGAAGATAAAAATCGAAATCAGCGGCAAAAGCAAAATACGCATAAATTCAATCAACCGTCAGAATCCAAATGGAATAGTCTACAGGAAAATCAACTGCAGCAAATCCTAAATGAATCCAATAACGTATAGATGACAAATGCAATCCTCAGGCGTTTGGCACACCTGCAGAGGCCCAGAAGTAAATGAGGAGAAGAACGTCCAGGCAAACCAATACCAACGCTTCAAGCTCAAATAAATCCAGTCACAAATGTACCAAAATAGGCCAAATTGCACCTAAAAGATAATTGCCAAAATGTAACACACCAGTGGCCAAGTTAATGACAGCAGAGGTGGAAACCAAAGGAATTCCCAACACAGGGAGCCGCACAGCGAAGGAAAGTCCCGCGGGTCAATGGCACAACCCGCTTAGGTCGAACAAGCTAGCGAGGGGCGCTTGAACCAACCTTGGTTATGAACATTTATGAACAAATTTCAAGGTGCTTTGACACATTTAGTGTTTGAGAGAGAGAGAGAGAGAGAGAGAGCGAGAGAGAGCGAGAGCTGTTTTCCATCCGGCCGCTGGCCTCAGGCATTGATGACACAGGCACTGGCTTGATGGCAGCTCGATTTGGTGCCGGTAAACAAGAATCTGATTTGCTGGAGAACTTGGGGAAAAAATACCAGCAGAATCCTGATGTGTCTTGCCAGAAAGGGAAGGGTTCTCAGTGGAAACATGCCGTGAACTTTGCCTTTTGTTATATACCAGTTTTACTTTTTTTCAACAGTGGGGAGCTTGAAAGGGACAGTTTTGCACATCGACAGCAACCAAGGCCCAGGTCCAACTGATATCGTTGGGGAGTTACTGTGGCCCCAAATTGTCCTTCCAGAAGATGGGACGGGGTGCGGCCACATTGCCATTTGAAACCCGGCAGCTCAGGGGTGGTATCTGAGGATCTTTGAGATGGGAAAACCTGTGGCAAATCCAGGTTTCGCAATGTTGCAAAACGATGATGTTTGTTTAAGAACGTTTTAGTGGTAATTTAGGAGGCCCAGGTTGAACAAGGTGACAGTCCCACATCTCGGACATTCTCGGACCATTGAAAGTTTGTAATTCCAAAGGTTCTTTGGAGGAGGCTGACAGCTGGAGGTAGGGTCGCAGAGTAAGGACTGGATTCGGACTCGAATGGAGGGCATCATTCATTTCCTACGTGCCTCGGAGCTGGTAGGGACTTATGAATTTTGGGATATTTTGGGTTTAGGCCATAGGGGGTTCTCCAAAAAATATAAAAAATTGGAGATTGACTGTCAACGTATGGCAATTGTAAGGGTGAAAATGACAATAAACCATAGGATATCATGGGGTTTTGGCGTGCCCGGTGTGTACTGTTTCAGACAGACCCATGTTAAGTTTAATTGCTAGGGTTCACCGTACAAGTGGGCAGTGATCAAACGGTCGCAATGAGTCCTACAGGTTCCACACTCTCATTCTACTACTGAAGTAGTGCCACAGTGATGAAAGCCATATGAAATGCCTTGCAGATCCTTGGAGCATCTTGGAGCAATAGACCGGAGAGCAGATTGAGCCTTTTTTGTTTCAAGGGCTAGCGGCTCAAAAGTCACAACCACCCAAAGAATTGGACTTCACCGAAAAACATTAAAAACGGGCATGTATACAACAGCCAACACAGCGAATTGAAACGATTCAATTTGAACCAGCCAGGAATTTGAAAGGGGTCTAGCCAACACGCATGGACGTTCCCAGAGCCAACCGCTAGGCAACGACTTTGAGGGCTTCTTTGACTTTGTGACCCAGCAACGTGTGCCTGACACCGGCTTGATGGAATCTCAGCCGAGATTACAGCAGGGATCCTGGGAGTGGTTGTCAGGTCATGTTTTGACTGGGTTATGACTTATGATTATCCACATCATTTGTTGCGTCCCCAATTTTGTTGGTCGTGCCCCCTGTTTACTATCATTTTATCTAGAAGGCGTCTCATGATTTTGGGATTGAAATGGGGTGACCTTTTCTTGTACAGGCCTGTTTGTCTTATCAGAGCTGAACAGCGCTAAACAGATACAAAAGCGAAGTGATTTCTCGGACAGTTTTCAGACAAGACAGCTGTATATACTTGGACCTACCAGAGCTCCACATTTTTGAAGGCGGGCCTTCTCATTTGACAGGGGGTTGTGTTGCATGGACAGCCTGCCGTCACCTGCAATTGCTTGTCACGAAAGCTTCCTTGCTAGCTGGACTTCGATTGCTTTAGCAATGAATTGGAGGCAGACTGGATACAGCTTCCATGATTTTCATGTCTAACTGGTTTTGGGGTCCCATTGTTGGACATGATGAATCATTTCGAACGTTTACACCCCCCCTCGCCCTCCCACCCCGCTTGGCGCGACCTGTTTTCTCAATTTTAATTAAAACAATGACATGGAAAAGGTCGCACACATCTCTCCTTGCCCAACTAGCTTTTGTCCCCTTTGAGTTTCCTTGCTCGTCACCTCTTCGAACTACAAATGCAGGTGCTTTGTTTCCAATATCTATCAACGTGAAGTCATGTTCCACTTTCCAACTGTATTTATCCACCGGCCACATTGAAGGGGTGAAAACACAGTCAGGGCATTTTCCTTCTTTTCAAGTAGGCTCGGCGCAGTTCGGATGTTCTGGTGTAGTCCGGACCCAAGGTCATGTTCCGCGGCTACTACCACTCCTTTTGGCACGATGACCCTAGTGATCCATCCATGCGCCTGGGTTCTGATGTTGTTGATCAACTAGTTGGGTTTGTGTCCATGTTGAATTTCTTTGCATTATGTCTCCCTTCTTTTCGTGCTTTCCTGTCCTAGCAGCCGAAGAAGCTGTGCTTGTTGGGTTTGGCTTGAGGGACCATGTATAGGAACGCAAGATTTCATGATTGAAGTAAAACACCGTAAAACATGGGTAAGCATCGTAAATCCACAGTTTCCCGTCTAGACGTTTTATCTTCTCGGAGAACAGATCACAGATCTAATGACTTTGGGTCTTGAAGATCGTCCAAAAAAGTGCAAGGCATGATCGGTACAACCGCCGCATTGCTCGGCTGGGCGAGATGAGCAGCGACCTGGGCACCCAGCTCCTATTCGTGCGCTCGAATGTGTCGCACGAGGACATGACATGGTGGCATGTTGTGGCAAGGATGCCCTGGTGAGTTCAGAAACGTTGAGCTTGCAGGAGTTTCTCAGTGAATGAATCAAGAGAGTTCGCAGCCGCAGGAAGTGCTGCAGGTGCCCGAGTTGATGAAGCTGCTCAGGGCCAAGTTCGGCAAGTCCTCCAGGCTGTTGTTGATACTGGAGCCGCTCAGCTGCAGCTGGCAGGAGGGTCCGTGGAGCCACCAGGGTGTCACCCAGCTGAGAGCCCAGGAACCAACAGAAGTTTGTGGGCCCAGCCTTAGTGGATGACGATGACCACGTGATGCTGCACTACCTGAGCATGGATGTGCACAAAAAGAGTCATCCAGACAACGCAATGCCCTATGCTCGAAACTTGGCCGCTTCCAATCCTGTTTGGTCATAAGCATTCACAAATATCACAAATCACCCTGTATGCCGCTGTCATCCGATGTCTGTATGCAGATAAACGATCCACAAGGACCAAACAACTGAAAATTGTGATGCAGTTGGAAGGATGCACTCTGGAATCTGGAAGGCTTGTTTTGCGCGCCTCAACTCGTCCCAATCCCATGCCCAATCCCATCATGCCGAGGACCGGTGGAGTGTGCCCTGGATTGGTGCGCTGAAAAGGTCACCTGCCGACATTTCTCAACTTTCGCAGAAGCCTTTCAGCTAGCTGATCCATACCCAGGTGCAACACGGCAGCTTGAATTGAAACGAACAGATGGATACAGATGGTGCAATACCTGATACGGGACTATACGGGATATTTTTATATATTTTTGCTTAAGAGTCTGCACTGTTGTGACGGATGGTAGGCTTCTTGTAGGTCTTTGTGTGAATATGTTTCTATATGTTTCTGCTTAAGCTTAGCCAGGCAGTCCGGACATGCAAGAGCTGATTTTCTAGAATATCATCTCAGAATGCCGCTGCCTCCCAACCTCGTGCTCTTGATTTGAGAAATTCACACCCTTCATCTTTGAATTTGCTAGTGTGACATGAATCGACCTGCTTGAACGAACACCTTCAGCAGTCCGGAGTTAAACTCACAAAGGGCGTATGTTCCAAATGCATCCAAATGCACCCTGCCCCTCCTGGGCCATGTCACTCTGACATATTTGCGTGATATCCTCACGTGCCTCCATCACTGTTGCGCGAAGCAGGTGGTGAGAGAGGTCTTGGAGGCCTACCAGCCTTTGAAGCAACTAAAGTGCTGGCCACAGTGGAGGAGCGCTAAACCACTTGAGAAGTGCCCCAAGCATCAAAATCTCCATGGGTTCCATGTGGTTACCTGCACTGAGAATTAAGATATATATACCCCTCCTCAAAACAAGCACTATCAGACATACAGTAAGCCTTGCATGACTGACCTTGAGTCAGCATGGGAATTTCAAGATCCAACTTACTGTTGAGTGCGTATGTAAAAAAGATGCGCGCAGGCCACAGGGCAGAAGGCTGTGAACCGAGCAGATTTGTTGGAGACGAGTCGAAACCCGTTTCTTCGCCAGCAACGTGGGACTGCGTGGCCTCCATTTCTGGTATTTTCTGGCCGTGCCAAGGTTTGACTATGAGGCCGACAAGGCCGACAAGGCCGAAGGCATGGTTCTTGATGCGAAGATGCGTGAGCCCAGGACCAGGGCTTGAGCATGTTGAGCCTGAGGGGAATGTTGTCATTTTCTGTGGCTTGAGCGGGAAGCAGGCAGAGAACAAAGAAGGAGAGGCAGAAAGAAACAGGAGAGAGAGAGAGAGAGATAGAGTGAACATAGTCACAGTGATGTCACAGTGGCTGTATTCATGTTGTTCTTAGCATTCATATTATAAACATTTATAAACTATATATGTATTATATAGACTATAGACATTTGTATGCGCAGACATTGATCTGCATGCACTATTTTATTTTGGTTCCTCTCATCCATTCTTTGATACCTTCCCCCAAATATTATATAAACATCGCCAATAAGAGTCCAATACTACTGAATCAGGATCATAGGGGGGTGTTGATATAGTTTTTTGATCTATCTGCGTTAACGTCACATGAAGACAGTGCACTATGCATGCGCAACTGAATCATTTTCATACATTTGCGAGATACGTTGAACTCCTCTATGTATTTTGGACATGGTAGAAGCCGTGAAGTATTTTCATGTATTTTCCAGGGATTTTAGGTACTTACTTGAGCAGCCAAGATGATCTGCTTGGTGCAGCCGCAAGCCTCAGGACCGCGAATCACCGCCGTCTCAAGGGATAATTTATGCTGCCAACGTGCGACGTGAAGCCGAGGCTTGAAAATATCTTGACCCATCCTTGGCCCAAATCACCTGCACTAGCCAGCCAGTGGGTTTTGAGCTGAATAATCAAGGCAATCAATCTTGTATTAGTATGTATTAGTCTTATTCATATATATATATATATACGCATATATATATAATATATACATATACACATACATACACATACATAACATTATATACAGTCTTGACGTCGATTTCACATGTTCAAGCAAGGCCCACTTGTAGCGAAATGCTCAGATCCTTGAAACTTGGGAGAACTTACAGATTTAGAACAGACATCCGACAGATTAGCAGTTCTGGGATGCAATGACTCCAGCAACTGCAGCACTTTGCCACCCTGATGGGGGCAATGCGCTTGGCAGCTTTGGAAAATCGGCGTGCCACGGAAAGCCTTGGACGAATCGACTTTCATTCCCTTGTTCCGGGAATGACTTCGTAGCCTCAAGAACAGCTGGGACCGAATCATGGTAGCTACTATCCCACTTTAAAATGTGATGCAAAAACTGTAGAGCTGATGATTATAGAATGATGTGGATTCTATGATGTGGTTCTTCGGAAATTCAAGGATGCAGAAGCAAACACATCGTGAAGAAGACCTGTGTTGTATATTGATATTTAAATCTTCGCGGCAGTGCAATTGAGAGAGAAAGATTACTTGTGGACAGCAGATTGCTGCACAGTTCCATGAGTTTTGCCACCTTGCAGGTATGCAGCTCCGCATGCCAGGGCCGAAGCATTTCCTTCGAATAGGGCGGGCCAGCCAAGTTTTTCTCTTGACCTGGTGGCAGATGAACAAATTGACGCCCGAGTGCCCTCATAGCACGCGAAAGCTGTACATTTTTGGCAGGTGACATGCCGTGGGATACCTGAAACCACGGCAGCAACTGTTTCAGTTTTGATTTACTGGTGGTATTCCTACTCAGTTGCCAATCAATGTTAAGATCTCACCATTCAACATGTCAACCTCCGCCCCAAAATAGAGAAATACCCCGATATTGACAGTACTTCACTAATTTTAGGGATGTTTTGGTGAACATGAAATTCGCTGGTAAATGGATGTTATCAAATTCTAGACAGGGTGTAGCCACGCACTTGGATTGTTGGTATTTTTATGGGATTCTACCGATAGGCTTACACCATTCATCACATCAAAAATTAGCCTAGTAGGGGATCAACAAAGCCCCACCCATTGCCGGAGGTTCAGCACCGCAAGATGCTCTCCCATCATGGGCGACACGGAGGTGCTGTTTTTTCGAAATTGGGTATTTCGGAAGCAGTTGCTTCGCGCAGTTCTGCTAGTTTGGCTCTTGTGTACAGTCTCTTGGTGCAGGACAGCATTTGCTTCGACTCTTCTGGATCGCTCCTCTTCAACAGGAGATGCTTGGTGATCGTCACGGGTTCTCCTGAGACGATTTCTATTTTCAAGAGCGCTTGGTTCATCTTGGTTCTACAGTTCTATATGTCAGGATCCAGTTGCCCCCTGCAGGAAGCAGGTGCCGGTGACCGGAAAGTTTCTTCAAGATTGCACCCTTGCCGTGGCCAAAGCCTCAGACTGGCGCATGGCCTGGCCTGAGCCGTCTGATTTGGTCCATGGAAGTTGGGGGGGTCTTTACAACTCAACTCAACTCAACCACTGTGCCACCAATATATGAAAAAATGGAATTATAGATAATAGGAATTAAACCACCTAGGAAGAATCAACATCACTCCAATTCCCAGGTGGTTCACATTTTCATGATTCAAAAAGACTTGCCATCCCTGCAGCATTTCTGAAGATTCAATGTTTTTCCGGAACATCGTCAAAACAAATCAGACACATCTCTTCGGCAATGTCGTGTGCAGCACCTTATCCGCCTAAGCGTCCCAAGCTTTCATCACCTTCAGCCCCTGCTGCGAGTCTGACAACTTCTTCCTTGAGACCAGTTCTGTCTCCTATTTGCTTGGGACACAAAATGACCAAGCGAAAGAAGAGCAGAAAACCAAGGTGGAAGATGAAGACGAGGAGCACATGGAGGGAAAGGTCGAAACAACTGAGAACTCAGACACTTGGCCAGTCATCTCAGTTGAAAGTTTGCTGGCTGCTTCCACGAGTCCTGGCTTTCAAGGCCCTGCACATACAAGCCAGGAACATTTTGCGGCTCCGTTTGCGTGTTGAAGTCCCTTTCAGAAGACGAACAGCATCGGCTTCTTGCGATCCCTGACTCTCTCAGGGAGGAGGTTAGTTTGAGTTTCGCCAACAACTTGACCGCAAGACAGAAGGTGACGTCTTTCAACGGTACAGCTGGAAGCAAGAACGCCTTGTGACCACTCGATGCTGAAGCTGTTCCGGATGCCTTCACATTGGACGAACACCGCAGATCGCAGAGAGCTCTGCCTACGGCAAGTTCTTGAGGGAGATGCGTAGTGCCGCCTTCATCGAAAGTGGCTGCAGTCAAAGACAAGGGCAGAACTACTGTAATTCAAAGGGGCCTTGATTTGAAGCAAGTCGTGGTTGCAAAATTCCTGTCCATGGGTTGCAGAAGTGCAATCAAGGACAACGCTTGAGTAACAACCGTCTCGGTGGTTTTTATATTTGGCAGCTGTTCTTCGGCAGGCTTGTAGGTCGGAACACTTGCCGAACGTTCTCACGGAATCATTTGGCGAAGTGAAAAACTCCCAACAACATCCAACATGGGGAATCGCCTTGATCATCCCTGGCCCAAGCAATCGTTTGTATTGGGAAAGTTTTTGTTGGTCACATCCAATTCTTTGTCACCTCAAGTCTAGTTACTATCCCACATATGACTCTTGGACATATTACTACATATTTATATATAGATCCATGATACATTCGAATAGATGAGATAGGCTTGGGTCAGAGAAGACAAGATGAATTCCGTTGGATGGACACAAAAACATCTAAAAAGGTAGACACCGACGGATAGATTCGGATAGATTGACAGACAGATAGTGTACCCTCCGGAAATCAGAGGTGCCAATGGAACATCGCGTATTAACGGACATACATGGAGGTTCCAATAGGAGAATCATTGATAAACAAGCCATGTTCCATTGCCACCTTGGATTGCCGGAGGGTAGATTGAAGATCAACAGATAGGCTGCTGATATCACCAGAGCATACTTCAGGTTCTGAACCTGGATCCCGACAGCGCGATGCCTGGTTTGGGCAAGTGCAGGACATGGAACGGACGGATCTCACCGGGTTCCAACGCTTGCAGTAGCAGCTGGTTCTTTCTCTTAATCTCCTGCTCGAACTTTGGAACCAGTATCCCGAATTTTCGGGATCTTATTCTTTTTTTCAAACTCCCAAGGTTTGCTGCTTCTAAGCCCCTGGAACTTCTGCCCTTGCAGCTGCTGAGGTCCCAACAACAACACCTTGTCGCTGTTCAAAGATGGGCGGCGGCAAGCGCCACCTCAGCAGCTCCCTGAAAATCTGCAGGGCAAGGTGGGGGGATCCCATGTAGTACTTGGTGCCACCAGGTAAATTCACAGCCCTGCTCTGCAGGTGTTGTTTCCCACGCTCACGTACAGGAACATGCCCGGCACCTTAGCCAGGAAGACTGTTACCTTGTGCGTTGCCTCTCAGGCAGCTCAGTGGCCGAAACTCAGGTCATCCAAACAAGATTGTCACAAGAGAAACCTACTATTACACAACTGAAGTGCAGCTTGGGTGGCCCAACTTCAAGCATTGAAACCCCACACATCTGCAAAACAATCCGAGCGGATTCTTTCCAAATGCCAATGTGATCCAATGTGTGAGCGGGCGCTCGGCACCAAAAACAAGCGAAAAACACCCTGTGAGCCGACACTGCCGTGACCCACGCAATGAGGAGTGTTCACGCCAACTTTGGCCCTGCTGCCTATGTGCCTTTGCCCTTCAAGCCAGAGCCTCAAACATCTGAGGGGCTGACTCACCATCTGAGAAGGTAATCATTTCTATATTGTATCACTGTCATTCATTTTCTCCCGATTTCCAAAATATGTTTTTAATGCAATCAATCAACAGGTCATCAACTCAGAAAAAGATCATGAACATGTCGCTGACATCAACTGACTGTGGTAGCTTAGAGGCTTAGTCCCTTGAGGTGCAGGACGCTGCAACAAGCGGCGGTTGAAGATGTGGAGGTGGTGACATATCCATCCAGCAATGGTGGGGTGCTTGGATGGGTTGAAACCTCTGGAGGGACAGGGGATGATGACATATTCTGATATTTTCTGATGGGAATCCTATCATATCCATTTATATCCATTCATATCCTATCCCCAGAGTCAGTTATCATCCCTTCCACCCAGACCCTGCCCGAGGTGGGGTTGGAAGACTACTTTCCTCCCAAAATTCGTGATTCTCAGTGCATAAGCTTATAGATTTTCAGGGCTGAAACATGCCAGAACACTTCGAAGACATTGACATTGAGAAACTCAGCAAAAACCGTGGAAGGGCAAGGTCGCAGACAAAGGCAAGCAATGCTGTTGGGGAGGTTGAACAGCAGCGTCAGCTGGTGTTTTGCCAGCTGGTGCCCAGGAAAGTACGAAGTGCTCTTCCCGGCACGAGCCTTAGCCACGACAGAGCCGCCTGACCCCTTCTGAAGATTGGCCGAGTAAACTCATCAACCAGAGAACTTGGGCGCGGATTCTGCCATGGCTCCAAGGTTGGCTTGCCTGGCGAGGGTGTTTTCGACTGGGCGGATTGGTTTCCCGCCCTGTTGAAGCCATGGATGGTCACAGATTTCGGTGGCTTCAGATTGAATAGATTCTGAATAGATGTACAAAACAAGAGGCTTTACTTTACAGATCTGACAGCCAGTTGTTACAGATCTTGCTAGCAGTCCCCAAAACTGCCGAGGTTTTTGCAACGCAACCCGCATTATGTTGGGCCCGCAGCGGAAGGGTGGCGCTTGCCCTTACCACTGGAAGAACATATAGAGGGTGAATTTCTGACCAGAAAATCAAGCCATTTCAAAATGCAATTTGGTTGAAAATGCAGTTGTGTTTTGGTACTGGCAGAATTTGCATAAATTCTTCCCACTTCATGAGCGCAAAAAACTGTTTCACTGATATCGCGAACGTAATGCCTGTCGCCTTCTCCAGCACTCAGAAACGAACAAAGTTATCCAATGACTGTGCCTGGCTAATTTGCCGCTGTGAGACGAGAGCAAGAAGTCTTTCAGAGTTTACTTGGGTTTTCCACATAGGATGTATACGCATATTCCATCATATTCCCATTCATGTTGACTATACTATACCTACATTTTTAGATGAAGCACCGCATCATTTCAATTTGAGACATAAACCGCAATTTGATCCACACAGAGTCGTTGATCAGTGCACTCAGGCTGAGATCAGCAAGCGCATGGTGGTAGAATGGGCCACCAGGAGTGGCATTTTTCGGCAGAAGGTCCCTGGCATCAAAGGGTCAAATGACAGGCCGGGCAGCCTACTTTGAACCAGGAAGACCGTAGAATATTACCATAACTGGTTGGCAAACATATCCCGCAATGGGTAGGTTTTTACAGGTTTTTATTGGGTTTACCACATGAGACGAAAGCATGAGCTTATATGATTACAAAGACAACGCTACCTAAGTCTTGGGAGATCTTGGGAGGCTTTAGCCTGACCTGAATGCTTTGTATCAGGACTTCATTCAGGAACGCACGCCATCAACTTTTGCAAGGCCAGAGATGAACTTTGGTATGCCCCACTTGGATGACGGCACAGTGAGTGGCTGAGACATCAGGGGCATGGTGGCTGACTGGCTGGACTCGGGTGCATGGCATTGAGCAGCTTTCATGCAAGTTTAGGCTAGAATTCTGGCTAGAGACCATAGGCGACCATAGGACAGCCTAGGACAGCTAAAAGATGCTAAAAAGCTATAGGCACTTTCGATACGGTTTCGCAACATGTGAGATGTTCCTACCACACAGAGTACGGCGTGCGGTGCTGCAAACAGGTGACGGGGCAGTATGCCATCAGATTCCTGTCAGTTGCACTTGGGCAACCGTTGAAGCTTTATGGCTCTGGGGACCCTCCAGGATCCCAGAAGGGAGCCTGAAATTGTCAGTGGAACAGCTCCAAGCACCTTACGAAACTGCCAGCGCGTTTTTCATTCAAATTCAGCGCCGTTGTCAGTGTCGTGGCAGGGAACCCATAGCCAGAATGATGAGTTACGCAATTTCTTTGAGAGAAGCTACAACTCTTGAGGATTTCATCGATCACAATCGTTCAATTCTTAGATGCGCTGTATCCACATGCTGCGAAGCAGCCATGGCGGAACCCAGCAATCTTGGACGAAGCTTGGCTGCTTTCAGTGATCACCATCCTCCTGTCAGCCTATGTCAGCCTCGCTGGGTCACTGGTCCTCGCTGGTGGTCCACTGAGGAGCCAGCTTACTGAGCACACCTTCCCCAAAGCGGACGAGTTTTGCTGTGGGCGATCACAGACCATGCAGCGCCGTCGGGACACTCGGTTGGGTGCCGAAACACTAGGTGTTGGGGTGAGATGTGAAGCTATGCATTTCATGGTCGAAGCAAAGGGACGTGAATGGACTGTCAGTGACTATCATGATCCTTATCCCAAGATCCACGTACACACTGGTCATGTTATGTTATGTTTGGTTCGGTGGGTTTTCGCCGCAGGTCCTCAACAACCAGTTCTTCAAGCAAGGCCTTGGCGTTGCTCTCGCGGTTGCCACTCAGATGAAGAGATGGGATCAGAAAGTAAGCTGCGGGGACTGCAGGCCCCAGGGAAGGCTATTATTGTTGTGATTTTTCGTTGTAAACCATGAGTTTGGGGGCCGTTTGGGGGGCTGCAATTGTCTAGTCGAATTCATACCCAAAATACTTCCGCTATGGCTATGACAGGATACAACTGGACTCTGACCTTTATTGTTCGCGCCTTTCTTGCAGTGCAAGGCATTGTTTGGAGGGCCTCTCTTCGCGCTGGCGGATATTCCAGATGATCCTGGGTTGGTTATTCTGGAACCTCGGCCATGGCAAGACTGGTCTTTTTTCGCCATGTTGACTTACCAAGAAAGGCAGGTAGAGTCTAGATGATTCTTGAGCATTTGAATCGCTGGTGCGGGACCCTCAGGATGTTAGCATGGCGTGGGCCCCCAGATTTGGCGGAGCCAGGCGTTGAATCAAACATTGCTGTGAAATCCGTGAACTAGCCATGAAGGTTTATAGTGGTTTATGGTTTATGATTGCTTCTAATGGTTTATGATTGCTTAGAATGGTCTATGATTGCTTCTAATGAATTACAGCTCGAAAATCATCGAACTATTATGAACTCTTGCTGGGGGGGATTCAGCAATGGAGCTGATTGCCAGATGTTAACGTTGAGATTTCCACTTTCCAGACCACACTTGGCTTAAGGTTCTAGCCAGTTTGATGTTTTGCATTGAGCTGGTGGTGAACTGGGTGGCCATTCCGTCGTACCGCTGCCTCCGCTGCATTGGTGGGTGCAGGTGGTGAAACACATGTACTCATCATATTTCATTATGTTGATCATGATGTTGGGAGATGTTGGCATAGCAGCTGACGTTTCAGAACTGGTTTACTGTAAGGATATTTGAGGGACAGAATTACTGGAGACCTATTGAGACATGGAACATTTCCGTCAAAAAACCAAACAAAATACATCAATTTGACCCTGAGGTTGTTGATGCAAGATTTGATTTCCTGAGGTTCCTCATCAAATCCATGGTTTCCCATGGTTTCTCTAAGGTTGTTCCTTCTTTTTCCTCATGGATGTCTTGGGGACGCTCTCCATGGTCTTTGAGATCTCCTTTCTGCTGGGCGGTGGGGCGGTGCGCGCCGTCTTGCTGCGCTCCGCGCGTGCGGCGAAGCTCGGAGCCCGCGCCGGGCGGATCTTCAAATTGGTGATGTGCTATTCCTTGCTGATCAAAGGGCCTGAAGGCTTGGAAGGGTGTGACATGGGAATCAAGATCATCAAGTTGGTTGTTTGACTGAGCTAAGTTGAATCTTGATCTTTATTGAAATCATTTGTTTGCATTCTAAATGGTTAATGGGTTAGAACACAGCTAGGAAATGCAACATTATAATTTATAGGTGATAGTTTACGACACCGAAATCCAGAATTCAAGAAGTGAAAGGCAATCTCCACGTTTTGTCTCGGGCGTTTGCACCTTGCCTTCACTGTATTCTTTCGCTTTGTGTGCCTTTTCTATCCTTTTCTATCTATCCTTTTCTCAAGTTTGGAATTGGGATTGGCTGGTCGATGATTTTTTCTTTTTCTGATTCCTGGATTTGGGATTTGGAGTTTGTCAATATTTCCAGTGGGAAAACCGATGAAAACCGATGAATAAAGACACACGTCCCCTTGACCTCTGGCAGGTGCAGATGGGAAGCCTCGCTTCGAGGCCAAAGTCTTGGCCCAGCGGCTCACCACTTCCATTGCCACCAGACGCTGGGTGCCATTTCCTTTGCATTTTATTCATCATTCATGGCTTAAGGGCAGTGTGGTGGGGCAAATCCTCTGAGAAGCCCTGGCAAAAAATGGTTTAAGGGGAGAATTACATAGAATTACTGTAGCTGTCAAATTTGTACAGATGTTCTTTTCTGTTTGTGTTTGTGTGTGTGTCTATGTTTTCCGCAGTCAGGAAGGTGCTTTTTGTCCATAGAAATAGCAACGAAAACTTGGTCAACATTGTTTTGGTGGACGAGCACCCATGAGGACAAGCTATTTTGGCAAAATGCTGGAGAAGTTAGATCGCTAGATTCCTTCAACCCACACAAATGACGCCTGAGATAGCAGTTGGACCGTCTAGACCAGAGAAATCTGGGATGGCAAAAACAGAGACTCTACGTACCTATTTATCTTGCTTCAATTTGCTAAGATTGTAGAGTTTACCAGGGTGTTTATAGAGTTCACTTGCCATCCCAACTCCATCCAGCGATTGTCTTTGTAAGGGTCAGACTTAAAACCCTGGAGGCCCCAGCTTTTTGGTCATTCTAGGTATTTAAATGTATTTAAATGATTTTAAATGTATTCATGATATTTCACCTTTTTACGCTTTATTTTTTTCCCAATCTATTTTCGATATGGATTGACCCATATTGACCACTTTGGTCGATATCAATAAATCGTCAAGACGAAAAATGGGACAGCCGAGCTCTGAGGAGTTGCCATGCTCACCATTTTTCTGGTGGCCTTCGTTCCGTTGCCACTTTCTCTGAGCTGATGCGTTCACATGGTGCTGCGGGCCATTGGATGCCGCAATGCCACATGAAGTTGTACATTTTTTTTTACATCAAAAGATCTTGGAGTTGTCTCAAGAGTACTTAGACTATTTAGACTTAGATCATGTGTAGAAATGGTGGCACATGGCTGTTCATGGGGAAACTTACCGTGCGCAGAAATTACCATAGAAGAATGGATCAGTGATTCAGACCCAGACCGGATCACGTCCTTTTGTTCAACCCCAGCCCCAACTCTTTTGCCCTTTCCAGTCTGGCCGTTTTTCCATGATGTTCTTACCACAGAGAGATTCTTCTGTTGAACGCGCAGATTATACTGTATTATGTGTGGTCTGAAATTCAGTGGGCCCATGTAGGCCCCAAGTGTACCCAACTTCCCCCAGCATCGATCCTCATTTCGCCATAGGGCAAGCAAGACCATTTTCATCCATTTTCCCTAAAATAGGATGACATGGGATCAATCAGGAGAAAAATTAGCTGACCATGGTCAGTTTTCAGAATGGTTGGGCGCTTTGGGCGGCGCAGCTTCAGTCTTGATGGGGCCAGTCACTGCATCACTGCTGAGGCTTGATCTCCCCATTTTCCCTCGCCAAGATCGTTCATTGGAGCTGTGGGCCCGGAATCTGGAAGAGGTTTTCGCAGCTTGGCGCAAGGGAAACCTGTGGCAGGTTGGACACCAGGAACTAAACTCCTTGAAAGCGGTTGGAGTTTCACGAGTCCCTGCCATGTATCCAGAAAAGTCTTTATGTGTTTTTTTTCCCATTTTTTTGGGGGAGCTACTTTTTTGACATTCCCCAAGCTGGATATTGGTGTATTATCAATTTCTCTTGGGTGGCACACTGAGTGGCATCCAGTTTGGTCAGGCAGCAGAGAACACTACGAAGCTATCCGCAGAGATGCTGCCAGGCTGCACCCAGTATTGGGGTGTGCTTGTTCTGTCCCAGCTACTCCAGTAGGATTCCATTGACTTTTTATTTTTTATTTATTTTTTTTGGCGTATATCTCTCAGGAATAGCATGGTCCTGTTCTATGAGAACAGCGACTATGCGCCCTATGCCGTGGATGGCTGGGGTTTGTCGCTTACGACTTCGGTGTCTGAACCGGTTCGTCGGCAAAACCGCATCATCATCGAAGTGGACGACTGCTTGACGGAGCGCACCGCCTGTCAAGGCAGCGAGAGAGCCACCATCTATTTCAACTTCACAGGGGCCAACCAGATGGGAGCTGCTCGGCCAAGTTCAGCTTGCCTTCAACTCGGCTCAGCCCCAGTCATTGGCACCTGGGATAGTAAAGTCAGAAAAACATCGCCATCCCTGAGAGGAAAAACATCTAACAGTTTCAAACTGGGAGTTGAGTAGAGTCACACCATGTAAAATCCTAGTGAACCACTACAGTTCTATCATAATTATTTGGAAGTTCTATCCCAATTTATATCATTTATATCCGTCGTTTCCATCCCCAGGCCATGGGCAAAACCCAAACCTCAGCCCCACCTTCGCTTGTTAGAGGCCCTGATGGAGATCGGCCTGGTGTTGGTCATTGTGGGTATCATGATCGCCATGACACACGACCTGGGAAGCATCCTCACGATGACCATGGTGAGACCACTGGTGCCCTGGGGCATGATGATCTGATGGGGGATGGGGGATGTTTCAGAACATAAAAACACGAGCTTCCGCATCGCATCAAATTGGATAGTTTTCAGCATAATTGAAGCCCGTTTTGCGGGTTCTTCGATGCATTTTGGGCGGGGAGATGAGGGATATGATGGTGGCAAAAAGAAACGCTAAGATGGGAGTCATATGCTTGAATTTTTGGAGCGGATCTGCTGATTTCAATGGCATTGCAACTCCGGACCCCGAAGTCCAAGATCTGATCCCCCAAAAATAAATGGCGTATAAGACTCAGAAGACCATGTTCACGAATCTTTTACGAGTCAAACCACAATTGTTTTCTGAGGTTCAACTGTTTGATTTCCCCAATGCATCACCTCTGGCCAAGGAGAAGATGTTTGGCATGCTGCTGCAGCAGGCACAGCAGTTGATCGACATCGTGGCTAGTGAGGAGGATGAGGATGAGGATGAGGAAGCGAGGGCTTCCGAACTAGAGACCATCGCCACTTGGATTTGGGAGATCACTGGGATGATTCAACCAAAAGAGGCCAGGTTTTTGAGGATTTTCGGGGATCAACACCTTGCAAGTTCCTATTCACTGAGGATAGAGACACGTCTCACCAGCAAATGGCCGTCTAACACCACGTACTTTTCCTGCTTTGCATCACCTCTTTTACATAGAGAAGACAGTTGTTGATGTGCCAAATCAGCCCTTTTAACTTTTGCAATGTTGTGGGTGGGCCACTTTGCTCGATTTGAGGGGAAGACTCCAATGAAAATGGCATCGCTAAGGAGAGGACCTTGGCAAAGCTCTCTCGCATTGCTGGCCAGGCCTGGAAGAAACTCATCATTTTTTGAAGTGACCAGTTGATTCAGTTGATGTTGCTTTGCCTTGCAGGCCTTGAACAAAAATGTCATCAGCAAAGAAGAGATGGCGAAGAAAAGCGAGCACCTTGCCAGATGCGATGCACAAGATGAACTCCACTGGTACTGCTGACGCTGATACTGCTGACTGAGGTATGAGAAGGCTGTCCTGGTGGACATTTTGCGCACGGAGGCCCGAGCCCGCCATGCAAAACATTGTCAAACATGGTCAAAAAGTCTTGTCCTCCAGAGGTCCCATCCCCCTAGGTCCCAACCATGTGTAAATCCCCTACTAAACCACAGGTTTCTGGGGGTGTGTTTAATATTAGGGGGAGGGATTGTTGGGATAGTATGGGATGGGATGATGAGCAATATACAGAGATATTGGTTGATACTAGTATTGGACAATCTGATGCAGTTTTTTTGTGCTCTATTGGTTTTTAAGTGTTTTTAATCATCTTCCCACCCAGCTCGGCAAAGCGTTGCCACAGGTGAGGGGAGAGACACTTGCCCCGATGTTGGAAAGGAGGTCCCTGGGAGCTGAACACATAGCGCCCTGGCAGAAAGCTTCACATTGACGTAGAATTCGTAGAATCATAGAGAAGTGTTCTTTTTTTTGGGAGAGGGGGGTTCGGAACTACTAGTTGTATCATGTTGTATCTAGCTATTACATGCTATTACCATCCGGAAATGAAGCATGACAATGATAATTATCAATGATGGCAATGGAAGATCGCTAATTTATAGATGATTTTCCCACAGCCTCCATGCATGGGGGGATTTTCTATTGCCATGTGATGACCGAAGGATGGTAGAATCAACGTCAACATGAGTCAACATCATTAGCACGAACCCGCACGACGTATGTACCTTCTGTGTGAGTCTCAACAGGTCTTGGGTGATTTGGATGTTGACAGCACCTCAGGAAATGGAAAAGCGGCTGCAATCATGGG